GAATGGAAAAACTGTATCCGCCACGTTCGGGAGAAGGTTGAGGTCTAAATGTGGGATTTGGACAATGTCATCGATACCCAAATTGAACCTCTAATAATTCATTTAAACGATTCAGAAGATTCAAGTTCCTCTTCTGAATGAGTGCGCGCAGCTTACTTACTAATAACTAAAAAGTGTAGTTAACTCATTTGTGAATCTCTAGCTGAAATTTACTGTAAAAGATAATAATTATCTTGTATGAAATTTTTGATGACTACCCATAATATCTTGATGCGGTCCTGTAATGTCTCCTGCGCCTAAACACTCACTCACGAGCAATATGCGTGTATTTGTTTGGGTTTAGTTTCTTTCTTCAGCGCCTAGAGTATAAATATGCAAATTTTGAGCGCCAACTGGATTCTCAGGCCGCGGCCACGGCCCTCCCTAATCCTCCCCTCCTTTATCAAAAACTGATGTATATTACAGCTCTAAAGAAGAGTGTTTCTTCAATCTTCATACGATTTTGTCCTGGAGTGGTCCTGGCGTAGTGATCTAGGAAAGGCGGGCGGATCAACGGTACCAAAACAAAATCTTATCTGAGCTTTGTGCATAGTAAGGAAGGTTGAGGGCACCGAGATTGTTGAGAAGTCTGCATTTTTAACCATCTTCAGTACTTTCAACTTGAATGACTAGTGTTTTACGAATTCGTTGTGAAACTCAGTCATTACAAGTGGATATTATTTTGGACGTCTGTTGGTCCTCAGATATGAGGACCAAATCTTAAAATCATCGAAATTCAACTGCATCGTACAAATATCTTAACTTTTTATAATTAATCCGTTGGCTATTTTTGTGTTTGAGGATAATAATAATCTTAAGAAGCTCATACCGTCTAGCTTTTCCAATTCATTTTTAGAAAATTGCGGTGGATATTATCTTTTATCTACTAAATTTATTTATTACTTACACGTATAAACATTTTATAACTTTTTGCTTCCTACTGCTATAGTTTACCATTGATTAGTATCCCACCAACAGCAGGTTATGCAAAGGTTATTAACATCACTGTATTATATTGCACTAATATTGCTATCTTTTTATATGGAATACGTCGATGACCTTTGCCCGACAAGTTGGATGTGACAAATTTCTTCGAATGATATTATTAGCAAATAATCATAATTACTGGACTACCCATAACCTTTCATGAATATACCGGGTGTTTTAAATTTGACCCTCAATCGAGCTAAAAAGATTATCAGATTTCAGTATTTCCGAATATAGATAAAAGAAACCGCATTTTTTCAAAATAAAAAGTTCATTAACATTACTGCTTTTTCTCGTTTACGAGACAGAGTAATTAGAATCTCAATATGACGTTTCGTCACAGGTGAATAGAGTTTTTAATTCTGATCTCAAAAACGTATAATATGTCATACATTGACTTTGTTAAAAGTTATTTAAAAAAAACTGATGTTCTCATTGAAAATGACAGCTTATCACATGTTTATCCGACTAAATCATCAATGCTTCAGTTTAAAACGATATTCGAAGAATATGCCTATTTATTGTCTATAAAGAGCGTTATTTTAGCAAGATGGAGGCGTTCTACATAGCCGTAGATAGTATTTGAATGCAAGATGTGTGCCAATGACGGAACCAGGGGGTCCGCACACCCCCGAAATATCAGAGCTTTAAAATTGCATGTTTTTCAATTTTCGACAGTCTCCCCCCTCCCACTCTTAAACTTTCAATCTAAACGGACATCCTCCTCAACATGAGGCCTGAGCTCCTGCCCCGTCATTTTTTTAATGTTAACCTCTCTGAAAATATTTTATAGATCCCGTCAACGAGTATCGGTTTAGATATGGCAGATATAAAATGTGTTTACGCTGCTGCTAGATCGTCGATTTTTTTTACTCCAAAATTTTTCCATCAGTTATATAAAATAATACTGTTTTCAATATTTTCAATACGACCCTTAAATAATATACAGGGTGTTAATGAAGTATGTAGACAAACTTTAACCATCGAATCCTTGGTCAATTTGAAGACGAGATTTCCATATGAACTTGGGTCCGCAACGGCTTTGTTTTCAAGCTAGATATTAGCACTAAAAGAAATGATGTTATTGTTCTAAAAAACTATAAAAGAATGAAGCGTATTTAATTTTAATTAAGTATGCCCTGTGGTGAATATCACATTATTTACAGTTGTTTTCAGACCCTGCTTGTACCTAGATACGGATAATGTGATCGAGTATTTCTTGAAAAAATAGCATGACATGGATTTGTTTTGATGCAATACTTGATCGAATTAACTTATTTTTGATCTTTTATGCCAATGAATGTTAACAATTCCCTGTAATTTCCTCTATTGTCAGATTCATCCCCTTCAAAATGAACGGTAATTCCTGTTTTGCCAAAAAAACATACCGTATCTAGAAGTGTGCTGCCTAAAAGCTTGGATAAAACAACTTTCGATTCTTGCTTTGCCAAACTGAGTTAAATTGGCTACAGATCTCATATGTAACGGAGAAATTTCATGTCTCCTCTTTAGAGCCCTAAAACTATTTAAATCGTTGACTCCGCTGCTGGTCCACCCATTTTTTTCTGTATAAAACAGAAGACATCGCCAACAATACAATTTGTTTTTTTGCAACCACATAACCAAAAGTTTCCATATACCAACTTAATTTAAAATATCAAACTACGTTTTTTATTCCTTTGTCAAATTATCTAAAATAGGTGTTGGTCTTCCATTTTCAATTATCTCCTTTTTTTCATAACAATTATACAAGGAGAATGACTTTTCAAGTAGTTGATCGATTACGCAGCGACACTCATCCATGTTTAATTGCACGCACACTACAGCAGGTAACCAAAACGGCTACTAACGAGTGAGAAGACTGAGAAGTGAGTAACTAAATCAAAAAATGGTAACAAGCCCGCATAATAGTCGCAGCACCCCACGCACTCGGGCGACCGCGATAAGACACGAGCCGGTACCGACGGTCCCCGACGGACTACCAAGTGTATCCATAAATGAAAATGGTAACAACCGACAACCAAGTCGAGGCGAGTCAGCTTCATCGTGTTCACAAAACCTAGACACTATAGGGCACATTATTTTCGTGGGGCTAATTTGCTATTTACTGAATTACTATTACATATCGCTGTTGGTAAACAAATAAATGAACTTATTTCACAGTACTTAGTCATAAAATATTTATTTTTAAGATTTTTAACTGTTATCAATGGTAACAATGGTTACATGGACGCTTCGCCACTGATTTGGAGTTCGCTAATATCAATATATGTCAGTATCACATCATTATGGGAAATAAGTGTAGTTCATAAAAACTTTAGGGACAGCTGATGGTATGAAACAAATGGCTGTCTGATTATTTCAAGGCCTTCTTAGGAAAATGTGTTTATTTTTTAAATAACTACGGTTTGCCTATACATTTTTAGAATTAGAATTAAAAACTCTATTCGCCGTTGTAAAAATTCTATATGGCGTCTATAAGAAAAAATAAAGTTAAAATGTTAGAGGACAATAGACGGAACCTCATATTGAAATTCTGATTACGCCAACTTGTAGAGGAGAAAAAGTGTCAATGCTAATATTGTTTTCATTTTGAAACCCCACCTCAAATGTCAGGCAAAGATAAAAATGATTTTTTGAAAAATTGATTTTTTGTTGGTCTATCACCGGAAATACTCAGAATTGCGAAAGTTTCTTGAGTGGCATTTTACATAAAATTCGTTACAGCGCTCACTGAGATTATATGATGACAGAAAAGCTATATTTACTGACAACTGACCAAACCTTTATTTGCATGAGAATGCTATGTATCACCCTCGTATAGCCGTTATACTCACCTGGCCTGCGCGAATGGTTTTCATACACTCTTACTTTCCTACACAGTTGCCACGTCTACACTAATTTCACAGTAATTGAGCATTGTGACAAAATTGCATCTAACCATAGCTGAGTTACGAGTTGACGAGTGTCGTATAACTAATACCACTCATAAGCAGGCAATATTTTCACTGCATTACATAGCTGTATTTAGGGGCTTTAGCACCTGAGCAGCGCTTCTGAAAGCAAATCATCTTATAACAACTGAAGAGTACGTCTCACGGCTCAGATCTAGCAAAGTAATTTTCACACTAAGATACTGTGATATACCTATACCTTTCCTTTTAAAAGAATGACAGACCTAGCCGTCTAGAGGCCGGTGAGGAGCTGCCCCTATCTCGCCCCCTCCAAGCCCGCCAATGCTTTGTAGCCTGCCTCTGATGACAAATTCTGAAAAGTGTAGGTGTCTAGTTATTGCAGACACTATTGCAAAGATATAGCCGAGACTACTCGGAATATAATTGGGCTAAATGCTGCAGTATGTTCATTGATTGTTGGGCTATAGTTGCTGTAGTCATATCCAAATATTGCAATAGAAATATTGCTCGTTCAGGCTCCAACAAGATGGCTGTTAACGATTCATTCGATATATAAATGAAGAGGCTATGCTATGATCGTTGTCAAAGTGTCTTGTAGTGATTCCATGGGTACCTCGTCAATTAAATTTTCACATTAGCTCGTAGCTTTTTTGTCATCGCGTTCGCTCAGTGACCACTGCACCGATTGTCATGACATTTATAGCGGTTTATGCGAGTGACAAAGTACATCACTTTATTGTGTATTGCCTGAATGAACTTTGACACCGGTGATAAATCTCATTGTATCAGTAACAAGGAAACCTGGTAGACTTGGCAACAGCGTCGCGTATTTGACGACTTCTCACAGACCTCGTCCCCCGATCCTCGACCAGATGATGATTGTCATTTTGTAGTTATTTTGTGACTAGTGTCGTGATCAAACAGTGCGGCGGACAGTCAGTGCGTCGTCGAAAAACTTAACAAAACCTAACAAATGCACTGACATCGTGTGTAATTGTATCTTTAAAACAAAACAACAGCAGTCAAAATGGCTTCTGAAACAGCTTTATTGCAAAACAGGTCGGCCGAGATCAAACTCCAGATCGTCCCAGCCCAGCCGAAGAAGTTAACGCATCTTCCAGAGAGACCAAAAGTCGATTTGGCCTTCTCCAACCTCAGGTACACCGTCAGACAAGGAAAAAGTAAGTCAAATTTTAATTGTTTACGTCTTTATTTGCCATTGATGCATTTATCTTTGTTACCGGTGTCGTACGAAAGTTTCCGATTGTATGTATATAGTGAAAACTTTCATTTGTCTGCAAAACTGCATTTTGTGATTATGATTATATTTATTTTTTATACATTAGGCAGTCATGTTTTAGATTTGCCTAAAACCAGAAAATCTAATTAATACCTATTGGTGATAAACTTGAAAATAATGCATAATGATTATATGGCATATTGTTCAAAACTGTGCTAATATTTCTAGGGATATAATTCTTCAGGTTATTAATTTCATTAAGAAAAATCTGAATATAAAGGTGTTCTCAAACTTTCCCCACAGGGCATTGAAGTTGAAAAGTGAAAATAATTTTCAATGCTAATCCATCTACACACCAAAACTGAAAGTCTAGAGAAACCTTAAAGTATATGTGCAGTTAATGGAAACTTTGCCATTTATTACGCTTGAAGTGGTGAAGTATTATACAATTAGTATGAAGAAAACGTATCTTGCATTTTAATCATCACTCATCAAATATAGGTCAAACCTGATCCAGCGGATTAATTTAACAATAAACAAGTAATAACACGCATTTTGACCAAAAAAGTAGCAATTTAAGCTACACTATAGTGTCAGCTTGGCTATGTACACACAGCAGATGACAACTGGAGACACTTATAAATTTGAAAAATAATTTTCATTGTGTAAATCCGACTATAACTAGTTGTAACAACTTTGAGAATATTCAACCCCTCTGCGGTGGCTGTATCACAGAAACATCAATGGATTGAATGAATAAAAGCGAAGATGCTATTTGAGTACAGTAGAAACTAGTACATAGGCCATATGCTGTAGTGGGTTCTTGGTCTTTGGTGTCTATATCTGCAGTTGGACCAAGACCAATTTTCTAGAAAATTCACATCCTTCTATCCTCCAAAACACTCAACTGACAGGTAAGCAACACTTGATACCACTGAGCTTCTCAAATAGATAGCACAGATAAAGTTGCTGTCATACTTAGTGGGTTCTTTGGTCTCTGTTGCCTATGTCTCCAATTGAAACCAAGACCAATTTTCTAGCAAATGCACAGCCTGAAGTCTTCCAAAACTTTGGACCTGTTGTGTAATCTCCATTTGATACCACCAAGCATCTCAGATAGATGATACTTCTTAACCACATGTTCTCTCATTATCTACCCTGCTTGTTGAAAAGGCAGTGGTGATTCTGAATCTAGTCTTCTGGGGAATTCTAATCTTCTACAATGTGAAAAAGCTAATAATAGGATCAGAGACCCTGCCTTAACAAGAGTATTGTCAGCATTCTGACTTTGTGGTCCAAATCTCTTAATTGGCTATAGTTTCTGAGATATCCTAACCTAGAAGTGCAAGTGCAAAAGTTGCTTATACCCTATTTAACGAGTAGCCATCGCGGTAGAATGACAGCTGGTTATCTAGTATTATTTCAAAATTCCTTATATCGGCAAAGGAAACATAATTTTGACGGATCCATCAATGTCAGGTAGACACAGCCATTTTTTGCTTTGGTTTTTTGTGCGCTATAGATTCATTTTGTACTTGCTAACAGCTCTTTTATTTAGAAGTTCATTTGCATACAAATACAAAAAGCTACAGACAAATTTTACCAGACTAGATCGATTCATTATTGCCAACGTCGCAGACTAACATAAAAATGACACCTGCTGTACAACTATTCACCTCACTAGACGTTAGACCGTGATGGTTACTTGTGAAATAGGGTATATATTTTAGGTTATGTGGTATGGCGAATTATTTTTTTTCAAAAAAAAAACGGATATCATCTCAATGTGCAAGCATTGACCAATGCCACTGAGTTTCACTAAGTATCCTTTTCTCTCGCTGATATATGGCTCTCTTTTTATTTAAAAGAAGTGCGCAATCAGAAGCAAGAAGGATAAACTTGATATAGAGTGGGGTGGGTTATGAGCTTGTGGTTTTATATGTTTCAGATGTTTTTAGTAGACTGGCCTCATTTTATGAAAGTACATTAACCACAAATTTGATGCACACGTAATCGTAACGTGAAGCCTATCAGATTTTAGTTTCAGATTTCAATTTTTCTATTTTAAAAATAATTCGGAATGGTAAATAGCAAAAATATAGGCAAAAATCGTTATTTTGTTCTTTTAGGTTAGGATATTTCGGATACTAGAGTCAATGGGCCACGGATTCGGATTCAGCATTCAAAAATCTTCGGGAAAGCATACTCTGGTTTCTGGGTAAAAATTTTGTTTATCCGTGTTATCCTAGATCTTGCTGTCAAAGCACAATTTAGTCAACGATTTTAATTGAGAATTGAATTTCTGATAGAAGAACAATGTGCTCTTTTATTGGGTTTTGGTTTGTAACAGACCAACTATGTACTTTGAAACAGACTTTATGGCAGGGACAGAGTTTGGAACCCTAGCCTTTTATTTTATGCGCACGCTGGGTCTTCCCACCTAATCCATTATAGGAAGCAGGATGCATTTGATAACACAATTTTTTTCAGAACCTAATAGCTCGGTTATCCTGAGACTATGCTGAAAGTGTTTATTAGGAAAATTTTTTCATGAAAACCTTGAATCTTGTTTAATTTTTGCCTTTACTACAGACCTCTGTCCTTAGACAGAACCACAATATGATCACATTCAAATACTCAACGTCTAAAATTCAGCGGTATTTGTATGCACATCAGAGCAATTGTTATCAAAAAATTAAAATATGCCATATGGCAATCAGCTGTGTAGATTTCGTTCTAGCGTAGAGATCAGAGTCCATGAAACTGAAAAATGCGATGCGAGATAAAATATGGACATCCAACTTTTTATCTCGTTCTCTTCAAGATTTCAAGTTTTCGAGTACCGCTTGGAAAATCCCTGAAGATGATTAAAACCCTGAACACGCTCGTCTAACCAGTTCCACCATGGTTCATGGTGAACGTAGCCACTCCGCTAATATATATACTAAGTGACATATAAATCCGAACACCCAGTTTAAATGGTTTTATTTTAATAAAATTTTGTATAAGTACTTAATGAAGCATAATAAGTAAATGATAAAAATTTCAAAATGATTGCACTGCTTTAAAGCCCTTTGACCTTTAATAATGTGTGGATGCACCCTGAGGTGCTACGCATTCTCCAACGCGCCTAGACATGCTTTTGATCAGGTGGTCAATGTCCTCCTGTGGTATCTCATTCCAGGCAACCACCAACTCCTCTCGAAGTGCTTCTAGAGTCTGAGGAGGACGTTGCAAATTGAGCAATCTCCTACCCATCATATCCCACACGTGCTCAATTGGGGATAATTCGGGAGATCTTGGTGGCCATGGTAACAATGTGACATCATTATGTTGAAAGAAGTCTATTGTGACTCTTGCAACATGTGGTCGGGCATTATCTTGTTGGAAAGTTGGATCTGCCAGGGTGTCAAGATAGGGTAAAAGATGGGGTTCTAGAACTTCGTGGATATAACGCTGCGCGTTCATGTTACCTCTGATGAAGATTAAAGGTGACCTGGAACCATAAGCTATAGCACCCCAAACCATAACTCCAACAGTGTGATGAACATGTATTTCAACAAAAAACTGTAGATTCCTCCTTTCACCACGTCGCCTTCTAACCCTGGCACGACCATCGTGCATGCCTAAACAAAATCGAGACTCGTCACTAAAGACAATACTGTTCCATTCCTGATCCCAGAGTGACCGTTGCCTGCACCACTCAAGGCGATTACGTCGGTGTTCTCTAGTTAAAGGGAGGACCCAGTGTGGCCGGTATGAAAACAAGCCAAAACTTCTCATTCGTCGGTAAACACTTCGCATGCCAATAGGTCTTCCGTGTTCGGCAAACCATTCATTTGCAATGGACCTGGTAGTGGAGAAACGGTCCCTTAAGCCAATAATCTTAGGCGGCGATCTTCACGGTCTGTTGTTCTACGGCGGCGTCCAGTGCCCCTTGCTCTTTGCGTACGGCCTTCTCGAAGCCATGCCTGACAACACCTAACCACAGTGTCTACACTTCTTTGCACTCTAACTGCAATTGCCCGAAAAGAAAGTCCAGCTTCCCGAAGTCCCACTGTACGGCCCCTATCAAACTCACTAAGTTGACGAAATCGTACAGGTCTCCGTACTCTAGGCATCGTAACCGATCGTAGAGGATGTCAAGAACCAAAATCCGCCAACGTTGATTCTTTACTGCGGCTGAAATATTCATTTTTAGAGCGTTAGTGAATCAAAAAAAAAAGCAGTATAAAAACCGGAATGTCCAACTGATAAGGCTGAAAATTTTTTCACTTGTTATTTACAGTAAGATAAATACATTCACCAACTTTTATTAAAATAAAACCATTTAAACTGGGTGTTCGGATTTATATGTCACTTAGTATACATTCAAGTTGTTCTCAAGATATGTGGCTGATTCATACTTCATCATACTATATGTATAATAGTTATACGAAAACTATTTTTGTTACACTAAGTAGTGATACAAAGCTATGGCAGTGCCGTATTTACCGGTAGGACAAGGGCGTACTCAGGGGGTCAAGGGGGTTAGCTGCCTTCCTTGTCTCTAGCTCGGAAAAATTAAGTGGAGACCACATTTTTACAAAAATTAAATTATTCATGTACAGGTTTCTCCACAAGCTGAATCAATATCGATTAGATGTGAAATTACTAGGATTGGTTGAAAGCTATGTAACATATAAACTTAATTTTGCTAAAAGCACTATATTTATGTTGCGTGTGTTTCAAATTTCAACCTCGAGCAATATTTACTGTCGTCCGTACCTTCAGTTGATTTCTACTTAACATTATGCATCAATTACTGACATCGGCTATATGGTGACCGTATAGGGAGCGCTATATTCCAAGAAGGGAGCATATAGTCCACAACTTTTGTAAATAACATTTTTGATTCTTTTATTGTATTGGAGACATTGTCCAATTAGATACTAAATACTC